CCAAAAAAAAAAAAAAAAAAAAAAAGTGAAATGAAATTTAAAAAAAAAAACGCAGCATATGAAGAAGCACCAAAAATTTCAAAGCTTTTTGTACCTTAAAAAGCTCAGATGCTTTAAAGCTTAATTCCTCGCATGAGCTGAGGAAAACCCTTTGTTTCTCATGCCTATGTCTTTTGATTTCACCAAGTGAATGATTTTGTTTAGAAAGCCAAATTTTCAACTATTGGGTTCCTTTCTTCTTCTTCCTCTTCGTTTTTTTATATAAAAAAAATCCCCTTCGGTGATAGAGAAATCAGGATTTGATTTCTGTGAGAGTTCCGCTTGTTTCCTGCGAAAGTCTCAAACTTTTCCCGGAAAATAAAACAAAAACATGAAGGCTCCATCAAATGGAGTTTTGCCCAATTCTACTGAAGGTGAGGGCTCTTATTTGCTCCTCTATTTGAACTCTTTTGTTTTGTTTCTTCAAGCTTCTTTCTCGTTCTCTGTTTTCCGGTCGTTTTTTTTATGTTCTTGCGAGCTTTCTTCGTCTTGATCTGGGCTCTTGTTTTTCTCTTCTTTAGATGTCTTTTGCTCTACTTTCTTATCTGCATTTCAATTTTTTTTTGGATTCAAAGGTTTGATAGATTTAATGGGTTTCTGGTGTTTGACCCCAACAAGTACCCCCGTTCTTTAAATTTATGCGCATTTATTGCTTGGATGCACATAAATGACGCCGATTTTTCTTTTAAATTGTTCTTGTAGATTCTCAGGCTTGGAAAAATCTCCAAAAGGGAGACGTATGAATTTACTTGTAACACAAGAATCTTCGTTTTACTGATTTTAACTGAATCCACCCCCATGTGAATGAACTTATGCTTCTTTCGTTTACAGACATAAAGAAACAGATAGGATTTTGGTTCTTGTCTTGATGTCGATCTTGATTCAGCAGAGTTTGATGTGTCTGTTTTACGTCTATTGTATGATATTTTGTAAAGAAAATGCCTTTGTGGGATTTTTTTCTTGACGAACAGGAGAGAGGAAACCCATCAATTCGCAGCTATGGCATGCTTGCGCTGGACCTCTGGTTTCATTGCCTCCCGTCGGGAGTCTCGTGGTTTACTTCCCTCAGGGCCACAGCGAGCAAGTATATGTTACATAGATTCTTTTCGATCGTTCAAAGGCTTGTTTCGATTGTTCTTTCATGATATTCTCTTGATCTTCGGGTTTTCAGGTTGCGGCATCGATGCAGAAACAGGCGGATTTCATCCCGAGCTACCCGAATCTTCCTTCCAAATTGATTTGTCTGCTTCACAATGTTACGTTGCATGTATGCCTTCCCTTTCTTGACTGATTCTGTCCCTTTTTTATGGGTTCTTCCCCTCATTTTCTGTTCTTGCATCGATTCCTACTCATTTCTTGGACAGAGAGAGAGAGAGAGAGAGATAGGAGAAGAACTGATTTGATTGTGTGAATTCTGAATCAGGCTGACACTGAAACTGATGAAGTCTATGCACAGATGACTCTTCAGCCTGTGAATAAGGTGACGCCTTTGGTTCTGAATTCTTATGATCTTTTCGGGTTTCTCGTCTATGCATATGGAAGCTTATACCGATTTTGCCTGATGTCCGGATATGCAGTACGATAAAGAAGCATTGCTAGCGTCCGACATGGGTCTGAAACAGAACAGGCAACCTACAGAGTTTTTCTGCAAGATTCTTACAGCCAGTGACACCAGCACCCACGGCGGTTTCTCTGTTCCACGTCGAGCAGCTGAGAAAATATTCCCTCCTCTCGTACGCCAAGAACTCGTCTCTCCCTTTTTTTCTTGACGTCTGTTTGTTCTGCAATTCTTTCCATTTCTAACCATGAAGATGCAAAAAAAAAAACAGGATTTTTCGATGCAACCGCCCGCACAAGAGATCGTAGCTAAAGATTTACATGACAATACGTGGAATTTCAGGCATATCTACCGAGGTATTTCACCGTTCAAGAAGAAACTGCTCCGATCTCATGGCTTTCTTGAACAATGAACCTAAATCTGTTCGAACCGGTTCTCTGTGTTTTCAGGCCAACCGAAAAGGCACTTGCTCACGACAGGCTGGAGTGTCTTTGTCAGCACGAAAAGGCTTTTCGCCGGTGATTCAGTGTTGTTCGTAAGGTACGAGGGAAAAAAAACTCTTACGGGCAGATTTTTTTACTTCGGTAAAAACACCTTTAGCCAAGTTTTTGCAATGTTTTTTCGCCGCAGAGATGAAAAGTCACAGCTGCTTTTGGGTATACGACGTGCAAGCAGACAAACACCGGCTCTTTCTTCGTCACTCATATCCAGCGACAGTATGCATATCGGAATTCTCGCAGCGGCAGCTCATGCCGCTGCCAATAATAGCCCCTTTACTATATTCTACAATCCGAGGTAACCTTCAATATTTTGGTTAAGTGTTTGTAGTTTAAGCGAGGAAAAGGTCTATGTAATGAACTGATCACGGAATATATGTATGTAGAGCGAGCCCGTCGGAGTTTGTAGTTCCCTTAGCCAAGTACAACAAAGCCATGTATACCCAAGTATCTCTGGGGATGCGGTTCCGGATGTTGTTCGAGACCGAGGACTGCGGGGTCCGTAGATATATGGGTACGATAACCGGTATTTCTGACTTGGATCCCGTCCGATGGAAAAACTCGCAATGGCGCAACCTCCAGGTATGAATATGATCCTATCATCCTAATACCGATTTTTTCAGTTGATTTTCTTGTGCACGTTAGATGGATTCATCTGTATGGATGCAGTAATAACTCCTGGCTTTGTTTACTTACTCGTACGGTTGAACAGGTCGGATGGGATGAATCAACGGCTGGAGATCGACCAAGCCGTGTTTCCATTTGGGACATCGAACCCGTCATAACTCCTTTCTACATCTGCCCTCCTCCGTTTTTCAGACCCAAGTTTCCAAGGCAGCCCGGGATGCTAGGTTTTAACATTCATCGCTCTTTCAACTCTGAATTGAATTCATTTCCTACATATAACAATGACAAGTTTATGGTCGATAACGTCATTGTTTTTTCTTTTTCGCGCAGACGATGAGTTGGACATAGAGAATGCTTTCAGACGAGCAATGCCATGGTTAGGAGATGAATATGGTGGGATGAAAGATGGGCAGAGTTCAATGTTCCCTGGTTTAAGCCTGGTTCAGTGGATGAACATGCAGCAGACCAACCCTTTGTCGGCTGCTACTACTCAGTTTCCATCCAGGCTTTCGTCATATAATCTGCCGAATAATTTCGGGTCTGACGACGCATCTAAGCTGTTGAACTTTCAATCTCCGAACGCCCATTTCAGCAAACCCAACGGTGGAGTGGCCAACCATATCAGCCAGCTGCAACAACAGCAACAGCCAAAGCCACAGCAGCAACTACAGAAACACCTGCAGCAACAAGGGGCTCATCCCGGTTCAGTCAGCAATTTGGTCGTTGGCTCGAGCCAAGTGCCTTGTCACACCGTGCATCAATCTAATGGATTTTCTCAGACTCAGATTCAGCAGCAGGCATTGCTCTCTAGTGGGTCTAAGACACATCAGAATAACTTGTTTTCGGGGAATAAGGGATCGTCTCCGCTGACATCATTAGGACAAGACTTTCAGTTTCAGCAGCAGATGGAGCAGCAGAACAGTAATCAGTTACTGAGAAGCCAGCAAGAGCATGTTCAATCTGTTTTGCATTCATCCCCGAATCCTCAGCAACCGCAAAATCAACAGTTGTCGAAACAAAATCTCTTGCAGCAGCAGCAGCAGCAGCAACAACTTCAATTGCAACTTCTGCAGAAGCTACAGCAGCAACAGCAGCAGCAGCAACAACAACAACAGCAACAACAACAATTGATTCTTCCAGTAAGTTCATCACTGCATCAATCACAAAACCATCAAATGCTGCTGCCTCAGATTCAACAACCAGCAAATGGTAACAACTTCTCGACTTCAACAACGTTCATGCAACCTCCGCCAGTAACGGTGAGCCAGTCACAAGGACAGATGAATAAAGCAATTATTCCCGTCAGAACGCATTCTGGTCAAACAGACGGGGAAGCTCCTTCTTGCTCGACGTCGCCTTCCGCCAACAACAATGTACATGTCTCAGCATCAAACTTCCTGCCTGCAAGTAATCATGTTCCAGAGCTTTATTCCAAAACGGACGGTCGTATCAAACAGGAGCAGTTCAAGTATAAAGCAACAATGGCGGATCAGGTAGATGTGTCCACATCTGGAACAACATACTGTCCGGATGTCGCCATTGCCCCGCAGAATTTCTCCCTACCGTCATTCGGTCTCGAGGGCGATGTCCAATCACATCCTAGACATAACCTGCCTTATGCTGGGAACTTTGATGGGGTAACCCCTGATGCTTTGTATTCTCAAAAGGATTTCCACAACTTAGTCAACAACTATGGCGGCACACCTAGAGACATCGAGACTGAGTTATCGAGTGCTGGGATAAGTTCTCAGTCGTTCGGCATTAC